CTTCTGGTGAAGATCATGCTGGTGTGGCTTTGATGGTCACTGAGCTTCTGATTAATTGAATGACTGTTCATGTGTTATTTGTTCTTTTTATTATAGTTGCTATTGATTTGATGTGACTTTCAGTTTCATAATGCTCTGTGCTGTAGTGGTTATAGGATTGATACAGTCATAACTCTGAATACTACATAGGCAGATAGACAGTGAGACTGACATGTCACAGTTATAGCTGCGCCAGTGGCTGCACCCCGGCCGTGTGACACTGGCTTAAATGTGGGATTGTTGGTAACTGGTGGCCACAGAGACAGTAGCTTCTCTGCCTGCTGTCCCCGTGTGGCTCCTTCTCACCTTGGTTGCCCTGTCGTTTGCCAGGTGGCTGGTGTACCCCAAGCCCTTCTTTACGGGGATCCCTCGGGTGCTGGAGGTGGGGGGGTACCCCGACCCTACAGCATGGGGAGTCAAAGAGCCCTATGTGGGCTCCTTGCAACCGCTCAAAATTGTGAGTGTGAGCACACAGCCGCCCGCACCGAGACATCACACCCGTACTGCGGTCATGGGCTACTATCAGTATTCACATCAGCAACCAGTCTGCCAGTGTCATTTCACTGGCAGACTGGTGTCTATCATGATATCTTTGTGTAATTAACACTACAAACAAATTATTTATTATGCTTTCTCAAAATCATGAAACCAGCAATGTAGAAAGCAGACTTTTTAAGCTGTTCTAAGCCCTCTGAGAAGATGCTTTGTAGTGGCTTTTTCATGCATGTGTTTATTATTCATCAATATTCACTAATATGCATGGAGGGGGCCCATTAATAATTAACCTATCAGTTCACTAGTGTGCTGTTTTAGTGTGTGGGGTGTGTTGCGTGACTCCTGTTTGTCTGATTATAGGGAGAGCCCAGAGTGGAGTTTCCCAATGATCCAAAGGTACGCATGTCCAGCCACAAAAGTTCAGCCTTATTAAAGTGCAAATTTCAGAATTTCAGAATGGCACCAGTTGCTGACATTGACAGATTTTTGCTCTGTTTGTGTATGTATGTGTGCTGACCTGGCGCTCTTTTGGGTTCTCAGCTGGTGATCTACGAGAAGCCATACTTCACAGGGAAATCTCGTGAGATCTACACCAATATGCGCGACTTCATCACTCGAGTAGACACGAATCAGAACACCTTCATGTACAACGTTGGCTCTGTGAAAGTGCTGGGCGGCTGGTGAGGACGTCTGCCGACACTAGGGGGCAGCAAAGGGAGGAAGAAATTTATGGGCAATGCATGTGTTTGAGTGTGTTACTAATCTGTCTGCTTTTGGATGATAATGTATGAGTGGATGCGGTTTAGTGTGTGGGGGCCAGTCAGCTTTCAGTGCCCTTGTGGCCTCTGTGTACTCCCCTGTCCTAATGGGTGTTTAGTATAGCTGACTGCATGTGTTTTCTGTCCCCAGTTGGGTGGGCTATGAAAAGGATGGCTTCCGTGGCCACCAGTATTTCCTGGAGGAGGGAGAGTACCATGACTGGAGGGTCTGGGGCGGCTGCGATGCAGAGCTGCGCTCTGTGCGCCTCATCAGGGCTGTAAGTGACACCGGCCGCCCACCCTAAGCAACCTAATAGAGGTGCATAGCGACTACATCCTCTGTGGTGACACTTTACTTAAGCAGTCTACTTTAGGGTGACATGTAACCGTCATAAGAATTACATAAGAATGACATGACACATGTCATGCACATTAATGACACATTATTGATGTTTATGACTGTTGTCATAATGTGTCATTCGGTTTTTGGAACCAAATGACACATTATGACAACAGTCATAAACATCAATGATGTGTCATTAATGTGCATGACATGTGTCATGTCATTCTTATGTAATTCTTATGACGGTTACATGTCATCCTTATGTAGACTGCTTAAGTAAAGTAAAGTGTTACCTCATCTGTACCTGAATCCGTGTTTGTATCTGTACCTGTGTCTGTATCCGTATACGTATCTGTATCCATATCTCTGTCTGTATCTGTGTCATGTGCGAACGGTACTATGGGGATGAACAAAAGAAAGGGATGAAGGGGGGTCAAAACTGGGAAGCAGACATAGGGATCATGTGGGAACACGAGCTGGGGATGACGTCGATGGCTGGCCTGGGGAGCACAGGACCAGGAGGCACTCTTATATGCCACTGATGAGGAGCAAACGAAAGGCCTCTGGTGTGATTCACATGAGGGCTGAAACAAGAGGTAAGACAAATGAGCAGCTAAGGGGAGAATGAGAGGGGCAGGGATGCAGGGCGTGGCAGTACCCCTCACAAAGCCTGCACTCCAGGCACGTGAGACAGCCCGGGGAGGGGATCCATAGGTATCAATCAACAGGGCAAGGGACAAAAGGGACACTGGATGGGGCATGGGATGACAAGGCACTGGACGAAACTCGACAAGTCAGGATGAAGCATCAGATGAGATGAGCAGGGACTAATGGGGAAGATACGAAACAACACAGAGCACTAAAGACAGCATGGAAACCATGAAACACAACAAGGACCAGAACAAAGACAAGTTAAGGGTCACCAGGATCAGGAACTAACAACCAGGGGGAAACCACAGACCAGGGAGAGGGAAAGGTGGGGCAGGGCATTGGGGCAAAAACTGAAATGAGGCAGGAGAGAACAGGGTTGAGCTGGGGGGGCCTCTGGACCCTGGGAAGTGGGGCGTTAACCCTGGGACATGAGCCCCTGTGGGAGGCCAGCAGGACCAGGTAGAGCCAAGGGACTAGTAGGGTCGGGGCTGAGAGGCACTGTGGGACCTGCAGGGCAGGGATTGAGGGGTGTCGCTAGGACTGCAGGGCAAGGGGGCACCACCAGTACCGTAGGGCAGGACCCGGAGGGAGAAGGGGAACCTGAAGGGTGAGAATAGAGAAGGGGGCAGGAACAGGAAGGCCCTGAGGGACCTACTGGGCAGGAGGGCCCTGAGGGGCTGGCACGGCAGCCGTGGATGGCTCCGGGGGTCCATGGAGCGGGACGCAGGGCCAGATCAGAGGGCTGCTACTTCAGGCAGATCCTCCTCTGAGTTCACTCTCTCAGAGCAGATGACAGCCAGGAATACAGGTTCAGGGCTGGTGGCCGGTGGAGGATCGGGCTTGGGCTAGAAGCTAACAGGCGATCAAGCTGGAGCTGATGGGCTGATGGCCACAGGTGAGCAGCCAGGTGAGCAGGCAGGAGCCACCGGAGCGCCAGGCGACGAGCAAAGGTAGGCTGTGGTGCCCAGCGGCGAGTGAGGCTGGTGGAGCTCGGCATGGGCACCTCAGGGGACTGACGGAGTCCGACTCAGGCACCTCAGGAAAGGGACGGAACTTGGGCAGAACCACAAGAGATGGACCAGGAACCTTGGGAGACCGGTGGAGCTCGGACACCCCTGAAATCGGGCAGAGCTCATTCACCTCGGAGGCTGGGCATAGCACCCCTGGCACTTCAGGAAGCAGGAGATACTCGGGCACTTCAGGAAGCGGAACGGCAAAGGCCTCATGGGGCTGGGCGCTTGCGGAGCGGTGGGGCCTCCAGCTCAGCCCTCCCTCTTAGTCTCTGCTGTCTGTGGCGGGAGCTAATGGAAGGCTTTGGGTGGCCAACCGGTGAATCAGAGGTCGGCTTCTGGGAGCCAGTGGATAATTTGGCGGCCAGCTTCGGGGAGCCAGTGGGCGGATTGGCAGCCTTGTCTAGGTCGGGCACCTTGCCGGCAAAAGGCTTCACCTCCACTGGATCTGGTGTGCCCACTTTGTCCCAAACAGCCTGGAGTGTGTACCCTATTGCCGCCACTTCCATTTTGGGGATGTCAGGGGTAAGGGTGGGTCCTGGAGGCAGTCCAACCTTTTGGGAGAGAGATGCACCCAGCAGCCTGGAATAAGCTCGGAGCAGGTACTACTGATCAGCGGGTAGCATTCCAGCAATTCAATGGGGCTTGAGTAGTCCCCCCATTCTGTCATGTGCGGACAGAAAAGAGGACTCAAGAGCAAGGTATTGGACAAAAAGGGTCTATTGTGCTATGGGGATGAACAAAACAAAGGGACCACAGGGTGTCAAAACTGGGAAGCAGACACAGGGTCATGTGGGCATACGAGCTGGGGATGACGTCAATGACCGGACTGGGGAGTGCAGGAATAGGAGGCACTCTTATATGCCACTGAGAGTCAAATGAGACTCTTCAAATGAGAGGCATCTTGTGTGAATTACACCAGAGCTGAAACAAGAGATAAGACAAATGAGCAAGAGGTATCATTAGGGAGAGAACAAAAGGGGTAGGAATGCAGGGCATGACAATCTGTATCTGCATCTGTATCCATGTTTGTGTCTGTAGTAGTATTTGTATCTGTATCTCTTCAAAAAACAAAATGATCTGTGTTTGGACAGAAGACCGGAAGTATGCATGGTTAATACTGGAAGTCCCATTGAAATTGTATTATCTAACCTATTATTCTCTGTAAATGCAATTGTTGTGGCTTAACTAAACTAAGTTTTATGGATTGTCTAAACTCCCCCCTTTAACTGGGGGACATTGAACAATCAAAAGTTGAACAAAAAAAGTTCTATAAATCAAAAGATTCTGTTTTGCATTGGAAACAGAAACTATTTATGGTAAAGATATATAGGAAAATCTTCAGTTGAAGGGAATAAACTTCAATTCAATGATACAGCATTCACGATTGATGTTAACATTACTGCAGTTCGCTAGGGAAACATGAATTATGGCTGAACAATGATAATTACTTAACAGCAATACAATGTACAGTAAAACATTTTTTTTCAATGTTTTGTTTTTTTTTATGAAAGGAATTAACACATACAGCTAAAAACAATGATTTATGTATAGGTTTAGGGGTTCGAAAGAAATCTGCATATGACACTGATACGCTATGCCCTCCATGCGAGTTCCCCAGAGTCACCGCTGAGAAAGGTCTGTTCTCAACGCACTGCCTGATGTGTTCTAGCTTGGTGGGTTGACTTCACTAGTTAGTGAAGTCCTGTGTTTCAAACAGAATGGGCATTTATATGGCCATTTACAATGATACAAATCGATTTGAAGTAACATAGACACGTCAGTGATGGAGCTGACTTTTTCCCAAATATTGACATAAAAAATATGTTTACAACATATTGTCTGTGTGTTTCTGAATCACATATTTGTATTCGGGTGCATCCCTACTGGCCGAGGCTTTGCCCTACTCATGTGATAGACACGAGGCAGAGGTGACGCTCTCCCGTTCTGGCAGGACCTCTCCGAGCCCATGCTCGAGCTGCTGGCACTGCCTGAGGAAGATCAGCTGGCGACGGAGGAGGAGCAAACTCTGGAGGTGACAGAGGCCATCCCCGATGTGGAGCTCTTTGAATTCCAGACCTCGACCAAGTCCATCAACGTGCTGAGCGGGGCGTGAGTTCAGCGCCGCCCCGGTGGTGCTCAAACTGATTGTGCCCGATGTTAAACTCCTAACAGCTGATCCTGCCAATTTTGCTCCCCCCAGGTGGATTGCCTACTCCCACGTGGATTTCTCTGGGCACCAGTACATCCTGGAGAAGGGCTTCTACAGCTGCTGCTCAGACTGGGGCTCCGAGGACAATCGCATCTGCTCCTTGCAGCCCATTCTGCAGGTGACGGGGGGGGAGACAGACTGCATGTTTAAACCAAAACCTCGCCGAGCAGGAGACACGGAGCCGGCAGCAGAATCTGATGCATTCTCTGTCAGTTATTAAGTTTTAATATTAGTAGAACTGTTAGAACAGCGTGGCATGACCCAAGTGGGGAATGGAGGGTGACGATCCACTTGAGGTTTATTAAAGAAACTGGACACACAGGGTAAAACTACAAAAGGACCACGAGAGGTCAGGAAACAAACAGGGAAACACAGTAGGGACTAATACAAAGACAGAGGGAACAGGATGGGCAGCAGCACCTGCTGGCTAAACAGGGACCGAGCACATAGCACTGGGATGGACGGGCACCGACCCTGACAAGAACGAATGGCTGTTTTTAAGGCTCTACAGAAGTTTATATAATATGAAGAGTACAGTTATATCAGAAAGATTAATAGTGATTTTGGAGTAGGATAAATGAGAAGTTCCTCCCCAGGCTTTGCTGTAGGTCATCTGTTTCTTTGCTGTGTTTTTCTGGCTGTCCATACGCTGTGTTTACCGTGCCCTCATTCTGTTTTTGTTTCAGGTGCCGAATGGAAAAGTGAGCTTCAAGAATGAGGTGAGATCAGCACATTCTTTACGCAGAGCTGTCTTGTCTGTACCCATAGCTAAAGCATTAAAAGAGAGAATAAATCTTCTAATGGCCCCTGAGCTGTTCACTGCATTGGCAATCACCTGTCTTCGTTTTGTTATTGAGCCGTTTCCCATGGCGACATGGGCCACGCCTTCGATTCTCGCCCCCCAGGTGATGCTCTACTCCGAGCCCAACTTCCAGGGCACCTGCCGCGTCTGCATGCAAGACCTGGAGATCCTCCCAGAAACCATCAAAATAATGTCCTGCAGGGTCCAGGGTGGCAGGTGAGGATGCGCCGGAGAGGTTGAAGAGGTGCTAAGCAGGAGAGGACAGGGAGGTGGTGAGCAGGAGAGAAAATGAAAGCTGGAGTGTAGAGAAGGTTCCTGTTGGGTTTCAGAAAGAGTAGTTGCACTGCTTTCCTGACTTCAGATTGTTCGTGTGTTTCAGCTGGGCATTTTACGAGGACCGTAAGTACTCGGGAAACATGTATGTGCTGTCAGATGGGGATTATCCAAATCTCACAAGCATGGGCTGCCCCCTCAGATGCTCCCTAGGCTCACTGAAGTCCATCCCGATGGTGAGCACCCTGAACATTGTGCCCCCCTGCTGGCCACCCCATGTTCTGCATATTGATCAAAATTATTTGAATAACTTTAACGGATGGATGTCTCTTTCTCCCGCCCAGATGTTCACAGTCCCCTCCATCTCCTTCTTTGGCATGGAGTCTTTTGCGGGGCGGGAGTTTACCATAGAGAACGAGGTACTGAATCTGCTGGGTGAAGGAGTCAACAACCACGTTTTGTCTGTTAAGGTCAACCGTGGCTGGTAGGTGTCTCCATCATAAACAAACGCATATCAATTCATTCAACTTATTCTATTAACTGAATTATTATATTGAACCACTGCTATGCTCATTGACTGATCAGTCCATATTAGATTTAACCAACGGTCTTTTTTAAGTACAACGCTAACTGTTGACTTTAGATTGAGAGTGTTTTTTGGTTTTTATTTCGTGTTTCTGACCTGTGGCTCTGTGGGAGGCACTTTTGCCTCACAGGTTGCGGGTTTGAATCCCATCCCTGATCAGCGGGTGTGGACTTTGCATGTTCTCCTTATGTTCCACTAGTTTCCTCATGGTCCTCCCATGTCCTCCCACGGTCCAAAGACGTACATCTCTAAATAGTCCATAGCGTACGTTTATGTTTCTGTCTTGCGATGGACTGGCATCCTGTTCTGCGGTTATCCCAGCCTTGTGCCCGTTCGCCTGTTCTACTCCACGTCTAGCCTGCCAAATGTCACAGGATTCTAGTCCAAGTGTCTGTCTGTCTTACATGCAACCTTATGATTCCTAATGTTATAAAAGAGCCAGGTAAAGGCCATGAATGAGAACATGGCACCAGACTGCTGCCTTCTGGCGAGTACAATCAGCTAGTGTTGATCTGGAGATGTGTAAAGTGCAGGAGACACTTCCAGAGAAAAATCTGAGCTAATTGGCCCAGTGCCTTGAGGTTTGTTTGTACAGGGTTGAATATCGTTAATCTGGAATATCATTGTGTGCTATTTACTAAACCTGTCTGCTGCCCTCTTTATTGCAGTTGGGTGCTGTGTGAGTACAGTAATTACAGGGGGCGCCAGATCTTCCTGGAAACCACGGAAATTCCCAACTGGCCCAAATTCAGTAACCTCCCAACCATTGGCTCACTATACCCAGTTAGACAGGTCTGTCCCTGTAATATTTGCTGTCCACATATTTGTTTTTCTGTTTTTCCTGTTTTTGTTTTTCAAGAAATAACCCTTTGAACGGTTTTTGTGTTCTCCCACAGAAACGCTGCTACTTCCGCATCAAGAACAAGGAGCGAGGTCATTACCTGTCTGTCCAGGGGAACATGGAGGAGATGAAGTCAGGTCGGGTTGTGGTGACGGAGGAGGTCGACGGCTTCAGTGACATTTGGTTCTACCAAGATGGGATGATAAAGAACAAGGTACCAGCTAAAACATCTAGAGCAGGGGTTTCAAACTGCAGTCCTGGGGGGCCAGAGCCCTGTGAAGCTTAGTTCTTTCCCTGTTCCACCGCAAATGATTCATCTCAAGAGCTGTGAGGTAATTAGCACCATATTAGCACCAGGAGGTGTAAGGAGGTGAATCAGGTGTGTTAAATGAGGGGAAACCGAAAAATGTGCAGGGCTCCGGCCCCCCAGGACTGCAGTTTGACACCCCTGATCTGCAACTACTTCCCACATTCTGCCTACAAATAGGTGCTACCCCTGCCAGGTTTCATTCATTCATTTCTGTCTTCGTGATCTGACAGTCCTCTATGTCATGAGAGATTGAGGTAGTCGTCGGCTAAGTCCTGTGTTAAGTGAAGTTTTCTGATGACGTCATTACACATGAGTAATTATGCTTTGCAATGACTCAGAATCAATATTACATGAATAATCCCTCATATATTTTACCTTATGGTAATGTGATTTTGTCCCTCTTCAATTAAAACACACAAAAAAACGAATAAACTCTCACTTTCCCAAAATAAACAACCTCAATACCCCCCCCCCCCCCCCACACACACACACACACACAGATGGCCCCCTCCATGAGCCTGCAGCTGATGGGCAACGTGGAAGCTGGGGCGAGGGTGATGCTGTGGGCAATGACCCGCACGCCCATCCAGACCTGGTCTGCCTGCATGGCTGGACCCATCGCCAACCTGACCTTCCCAGACTTGCTGCTGGACGTCAAGGGTGAGTCAGGGGGGAGTGACCTACATAATGGGCTCCTTGTGCGTCTTTGACATATTATTATTAATATCTTCCATATTCCTGCTCAGATGAGTGGAGGATGGATGGATGGATGAATGGATGATGATGTGGTTTTCTGGATCTTGATGCTGGTTATTGTACCATGATACAGCATGCTAATAGTCACCCCCATATCTTCCCAGGGGGAAAGACCTATGACCGGGACCACGTGGTCGTTCTGGGGCCGGCTGAGGAGAGAACCAGTCAGCAGTGGGAGCTGGAGCTGCTCTAACTGGTGCAGGGTGACTCTTTGGATACAGCCTTCGGGGTCTTGGTGCTTCGCTGGTGGGGAAATCACACAGACCGCCTGCTATGCTCACCTACACACGGACCAAACATGCGCTGTGTTCATTAGCAGAGCGGAGCGTGGCGGTCGGCATGACTACAGGCAGCGTCTGTGATTGGTTCCAAACGCTCTGCTGATGCTGGATGCAGGACTGGTTTTTTTCTTCGTGGACACATGTATTAATATATTGCTCTGTACAGTGTATATATAGGTTGGGCATGTGAGCAGTAACTCATCCTCATTTAGGAAAAGCTTAATATAATATCATTTCTCTATGGGTGACGTATGCTTGACAAGGTTGTTTATTCCGTGTTGTATTATGTGCTATACACTGAAAGTCACTGCCATTGTTTACAATGTATTCGCAGAATGACAGATCTTGGACTTTGCTGAAGCTTGTGACATATTTTTATACTGGCAAAATACAAACTGATATGTGCTTGGTGGTTTTACAGTCATATATATAAAAATAAACCTTTATGTGAGAGTTTTGATTTGATTTGACATGCTGTGCTTATGCAGTCCCTCATTGTCGTCTTTTCCATCTGCATTATTATTATTATTTATTACTGTTATGCATTAAATAAAATACCGAAAGCTCATTGACTATAGCTCAGGGTAACGGTGTTGGGAAATCTTTTATTTCCTGCATTTTGGGGTTTAATTCTTAGTCATTTTATTTTAATCATTAGAAAAAAAGTACAAACCTGGATGACAAGAGCAAAGGAATAAAATTGTATTTTAAAAAGGATATATGCTTTTCAGTATTGAAAGCCATCTATATATTTTCAAAAATATTTTATCCAACTGTATAGGTAGATATGCATTGATACTATTTGCTTTTAATTTTTAGTTCTTGACATGAAGAAATATGTAATGTAATGCCTGAGTAGAATATCAGAGTAATGTAATGTTGGAGTATAACTGTAGAATAATTGCCACATGCATTGTCCATGTTTGGTTTCAGTTCATCCTCTCCATAAAACCTAGGATTTGCACTCTTCCCAGGTTTCTGCTATTACTGCTCTTATGCATATGACATACTCAGCTTAACAGGGTATGAAGCAAAACAGGAATTATGGAGCTTATCAGCATGAATTTCTTGCTAGCTGGGCAGCCGCTGTTTGTCTTGGACGCTGCCATGGATGCTGTGCTCACGGTGACTGCTGATGAAGATGCATCAGTCACAGGTGACGTGGTTGAAGTTTCCGTTTGTAGAGTAGGTCTGGCTGTTGTCATAGACATGGATGTGTTGGTTGCAGCTGTTTCAGATGTTTCAGTGGCAGCACTTTGTATTGACAGTAACATGGCGGTTGCTGACTCTGCAGTTTCGGTGATTCCAAGATTGGAAGTGACAAAGATTTCCATGGTTTCCATGGTTTCCATGGTTGTCATTGCTGGTTCTTGCCCTGCTGTTGGCTAAATATTCCCAGTAAGACATCATACAGATGAATATTTCCTCATGTACAGTAAATAACTAAAGCCACAGAAGCTGACACATGTTGTAAAATATCATTGAACTGTTGTTGAGCTATAGCATTTATTATTGAACCGTAACATTTTATATAAAGCTTGAACATTACCAAGGTGGTTTATTGTTAGGTCAAGAGAAGAAAGCACCTTAGGAAGGGTGTGTTTTGTGGACTGATTTACACATTTATGTTTAACATCGTCTCAGTAATTAGTAAAGTCTTCCTGAACAATACACAAATATTAATTCACTGAGGAGGAATTTATACACAAAATGCCCTAGTCCTCAGAGATGCCAGTTGCCCAATTCAGCAAAATGGTTATTAGTATTCTGTCTTCAGATGTATGACCTAGGAGTTACGTACCTGTGCACTGGTGGACATCAAGACAAGCAGAGCGTGAATCAGGTACATTGTCCTGGTGGTAGGGGTGACGTCCTTCCACTCAGTGATGCTGACGCTTGCTTACAATGATCCAGAAGCTGTGCTGCCAGCCAGGGACGCGTCAGTAAGTTGTTCTAACGGTCCAGTGGCAGGTTATATACTCCGCTTTCTCACTTACACACCTACCATATCAGACGGTTCACATCCAAACTTGTTTAGACTTTGTTTCCTCAAAACCCAATTTACTTCCCATGGAAGTAAATCATTTCTTCCTTTTTCTTTCACCTTTTGTAAGTTGAGGACAATGATTTAGCTAATATGGGAAAAAATATATGAAAGAAAAACTTATTATTAAACGTTCATGATGCTGACATACAAACCTTATGCAGAGCAGGGGGAGTAAAGGCTGCAGTAACAAACACCAGCTGTGTCTCAGTGCCACGCCTAGTTATTATTCATTGCAATCAAAGTGTATTAAATGCATTCAATCTAAGTGTATTAAATGAACCATTACAGTAATGTAAACCAAACAACCACAACACAGCTGTAGGTAAATGTACATTTTAGTTTAAGGCTCCGAAATAGACTCTGAGGAACGTTTTTGTACCATTGGGGGCACATTAATGTTGTTTGTACCTTGGGGAGAAAAATTGAACCCAGGCTGTACCTGTCATGGCGGCGCATCACGAAGGATAGATGCTCCACATTGCAGGTCTCAACAAAGGGGCTTATTTACCATGACAGAACACAAAGGGAGAACCAGGAAATAAACGGACCACAAAGACAATGAACACAAAAATTACAACTATGATATGAGAGGACTGAGGAAGGAACATAACACCAAAAGATGCAGGAACTAACACATAGTAACAACCACAATGACTGACTACAGAAACAAGGCAGGGACAGGTACATACTGCATATACACATAGATAACAAGGGTAGGTGTATGCTATAACAAATTAGGTGTGGTTAAAACAATTTACAGGTGGGGTCAATTAACAGAAGGTTCAAAACATCAAGGGAACCTAAAAGTAGGAACAAAACAAGGAACAGTAACTGAAATACACAAAGGAAACATGAGAACACATTATGACACTGATGTCAAACTAGTTGAGGCTGGCCTCTGGCCAACCTCGGAATCACAATGAAGGGGGAGTCTGGACTGATGGCCGACTGCTTAACCTGTTAAGCCGTGCAGCGGCCGGGGGAGCAGGAAAACACACTAGGGTAATTCCAAACGGGATGGCCAGAAGGAACAGGGCTGGACAGGTACCGATTCTGACGTATATCCTTTTTTCTGACAGTGAAATATAGTCATAAATTTGACATCTTCTTCACCTGGGTAGATGCTTATAGACTTTCAAACAACTTTGATGTATGCATTCGCAAGCAACAACAAACATATTTTTGAAAGGGTTTTTTTTGTTTTGAGGTGGTAATCAGGTGCAGAACTTCAGACCATCCCATAATGTTTTCTTATGAAACTCACCTTTTGTGGGTGGATTGGTGGCTCTGTGCCAGGAAATGGAAGGTTGCTGATTTGAATCCCATGAATTCCTCTGTTGGGCCCTTGAGCAAGACCCTTAACCTGCAAATGCTTTGTCCTGGGTATGATGTTAATCCAGCCCTCTAAGCAGGTCCTTTGACTTCCAGGGAAAACTTGGGGCTTGGCTCTCTAGCCACTGGAAAAAACACCTCACGTTGGTCCATTGGGACTAGCGTGGTGCTGAGGTATCACCTGCCACATGGCTGCACTCAGGTTCTCATCCCTGAAGTGGTTTGTCATGTGGCAGGTGCAGCAACGCACTGTAATCAGCGCATGCCCCTCACCTTACCTCACCTTTTGATCGTTTTGTGATTCGAGTGTAAGTACTGTACCAAGCAAATTGCCAACTTCGTTCAGCTGGCTGGAGTGAGATTGTCAATTCAAAACACGTCTGCACGCGCATTTGCATGTATGTAACAGTTTTATTACCTTGTAAATTTTCTTTAGGGTTGTTGCAAACCACCCCAACCCCTTCGATGTAGCTAATTTTAGGTTTATAATGGAATAATATAGATTTCTCATAAGATTTCTTGCATAAGCATGAGAGTCTGGAAGCGTGAGTGTCACGCCAGATGTATCAGAGTTGGCAGCCCTAACAGTGTAATGTTTAGCTCTGTGATGATACATTAAGAGACAATAGCTCAGCCTCCTACAGCCTGAATTTTGATCTTAAGGGCAGCTCATGTACAGCCAGTCAGGCAACTCTTTACTCTGTTCTTGAATTGAGGTTCCTTCTTCTTCTTTAGTTTCACTCCTACACATGTTCTACATTTATTACCGGGGGAAACACAGGTCTCCTGAGCTGTGGGCCATCACAGGGCCACCATATCGCTAACCCCGAAGTTGGTGCTCAGCAGAGTAATCAAGTAGATGATGTACAGGGTGTTGGACAATGAAACACAGGCCAAAATAGTGTTTGAGGTTTCACACTTGTATTTGTGTGGCCTGGTGGCCAGTCTTCACTGATGGCACATTCCGTAAGTAAGAGCAGAGTGTGAAGGTTTAATTAGCAGAGCAATAGCACAGCAGTACATGAAATATTGCAATCCACACAACATAATGGGAGGCAGAGTTCAACAGGGGCCAAAGTGCTGGTGCGCGTCTCGCTGGTGCATCTGTGACCAGGACAGCAAGTCCTTGTGGTGTAGAGAGCCACGGTATCCAGGGTAGTGTCAACATACCACCAACGGAGGACAGACCACATCCAGCAGGAGTAACAGCAGATAGAAGAGGAAGCTGTCTGACAGGGGCAGCTGGGCCCTAACCTGGACTGTATCCAAAAAACATAAAACCACAGCTGCCCAACTCACTGCAGAATTAAATGTACACCTTGACCGTTTCCACCAGAACTGTTCGCCTGGAGCTCCACAGGGTCAGTACTCATGGTTGGGTCAGAATCCCTCTGGCCACTGTGTAGGCCTTGGAAAGCCAGGTGTGCAGGGTAATGAGGCAGGTAGCTTTGGCTAATCCCCGGCCGGCTGACTCTCGCCTCAACATCATTTATACTTAGAGTTTGTATTTTATTCTCTCTCTCTTTCATTCATCTCAGCTTCCATCATCATTTAGGGAAAAATAAGGTATGTATGTGAGCTTTTTCTGTTCTTCCTCTTCAAAGTCTGTTTAATCGTATTTGACATTTGTACATTTTGATATGTATATATTTCATTTCTTGTGAATGTGAATGTGTTGCCTTTTCCCAACTCTGGTACCTTTGACTCTGTTGTTGTCTTATGTAGTTTATAACCTTTCATCATTCGCATTTTTACCTTACATTACATTCATGACAACCGCATATCTGAATTCCATCTTTTTTTGATATTTTGAAACAACTAAAAAGTTATATTTTACAAATGTTGCACAGATTTCTGGATGATATTTACCATGCTTTGCCCCTACCTTACCCAATCATTCCAATGTGAAAACATCATTTTAAGATTTTTTTTGCAAATTATTTTAAAATAAAAAACTGAACTCTCCTATTTCCATAAACAAGAACAAAAACAATGAAAAATACCAGGTTGCATAAGACTTGATGTCAGGGAAAATGGCTGAAGCATAAGATTACTGAAGCAGCACTCTGAGAAGGAAATGGGAGTTTTCCCTGATAATTGGTACACTCAGACCAACTCAACACAGATTAAGGCCACCATGTTATAAGAAATCAAGTTACTTCAGTATGCAGGTTGTGGTCCTTCTTCTAAGGTGTGGTCTTGCTGCTATTATCACCTAAATTCCCGAAATTACCTGACTTTTATACCTGTTTTCACGCCTCTTCCTCAGAGTAAAGGAAACAACACGAATACCAGTAGGTTACAATCTGAACAAAATGCTATTATACTGCCAGGCCACTAGGAGGCACTCAGTGCCATGGGGAGAACTGGCACAGGAGCAAAAACAAGATCAGCAGTGGGCACTGGGACGTGCTGAGCGCCGAGGTGCCATTATGTTTGGTTGTCTTCATAGATGTTGTGCATTTTGTCGTCGTCGTCATGGTCGTTGCCGTGGTTCCGTTCGTATTTGCTGTTGTTGCATTTGTGGTTGTAACATCTGAGCTGTTTGTCACTGCTGTTGGTGTGTGCGTCGTTGCATTGTGACTTTCAATGGATGAATTTGTTGCTGATTTGACAGGCAAGAAAACCTTCAGGAAATGAAGTATGAAAAGGTCATGTACTTGGTTATGTACAGTATACAGAGATTGTATTGCAGAATTGTCACCAAAACTACACAGTATAGGTTTCAGCTCTGGAAAAAATTGAGACCACTCTGTAGTTTTTAAGAATCTGCATTTTAAAATCCTGGTTTAATCCTAGTTCTGCTGACTGTCGGCTACACTGAGCAGCAGGCTGCTTCCAGGCTCAAAATTTCTAAGAGCAGTACACAAGAACGACCAGAAACCAGCCAGGTTAAGGGTGGAAACGATTTTCTAATGCCAGAGATGACTGTCAACTTATCCAGCAGTGCCTCATAAATCAGAGGATGACCTCAAGTGACCTTTTAAAGCAATGGGAAACATTAAATGCATGTGTGAAGTGCACTGCTAGGACAGTTCATATCAGGCTCCTAGAAGCAGGGCTGAAGTCCCATAAAGCGAGGAAGAAGCCCTTCATTAATGAGAAGCAGTGAAAAGCCAGGCTGCAGTTTGCAAAACAATGTATATTTTACCCAGGCGCATACCCATAAATTGAGAAGTGAGTGAAACCGAAAATTTTGCTGAGGTCTATAAATTTTTTCAGAGCTGTATATAAGAAGTACATTTTTCTATATTACCAATATATGGTTCATCCATACAATTTCCAGCCATTCATCCAGTGGAGCATCATGCAGAAAATCTCCCAGTACAATGGGTACAATGAACAAGCCCAGGGCACCTTGGATAGGATGCTGCTTTGTCACACATTCAGAGACACTGTCGTGCATTACGACCCGTTCAGAGCCGGCGGCTCACCCAAGACACCGATTCAAAGCCCTATTCAAAAGAACCACAAGCCATCCTAGACATGGAGAGTCACCTTGAAGTTATTTGATTACTTTCGAATTTGGCGTCCTTGTTTATTTTTAATGTTCTTTTAAATGCAGTACAGCGAATGTGCCGAATGCCCCGTTCCTTTCCTGCGGGCATCTATATGCCACCTGCGCGCAAAGCTAAAGCCCCATTCTCCTGGATGAGTGTCCTGAAGGACCAGCTTACCTGCAGGCTGACCACTAGGGCCAGGACGTAGAGTCCCTGTGTCAGTTGGTTCATACTGGATTGAAGGGGTCTGTTCAGGTACAGGTCAGTCTGCGGCACTGCTGGAGGGGGCTGGTCTCTGCTGGGTAAGTGTGCACCAGCTGCGTGTGGCTCTGGATTTTATATGCCCTTCCCATTACACCCCCACCCCCCTGCCCACACCAAACACAGGGAGAGGCCCACTGCGGGTGGGACTATACGCCCTGCTGCCTTAGGCTCACCTGTGGAGCACTGGTCAGGTTCTGGGCATGACCGGATTGATGCCCCTCCCCTTAAGGGACGGAGGGACACCAGGAGCTCCCTTTGGCCGTGCAGGGCCCCTCCCTGTGCGTAGAGCACTGCTGCAATAACCAGCCAGGCTCAGGGCCCCCCAGGGGTCCGTCATCTCCTCGCTACGGGGGATTCGGTTACTCTGCTCCTCCGTCTTTTGGCATTTTCCGTTGTCCTTCTTTCCTGCATCATGAACAATTCAGTATAATAATGTTGTGATGTAATAATTATGTATTGTCACATAGTCGCCTTGGGGCAACTATGCCATGAAAGGCACTATATAAGAATGAATCTAATTAAACTGAATTAAAGCTGTAAATGTTTAATAGAAAGGGGTCACATGTTTGAGTTTTGAACCAGGTAATTCACTACCTTGGAACGAGGAAAATCTTACACAGTCTTTAACAAGCAGGAAAGTGTGACTATCAGGTCCACCATATCGATGGGATTGGGTGCTAATGTGGAGGCTGGCGTCGCGCCCGGGTGTACCCTAGGCAGGCCGCCCCCAGCTGCCCTGTGCGGGGGCCGTGGCTGGAAGCTAGATGGATGGCAATGCAGCACTCGTACAGAGACGAATGTCCGGGGTCTGTGAATTAATCACTCATTTCCCCTTAATATGCTGAAAGTGCTTCCATCTGTTTGGTTATCTCAAAAAACAATCACATCTCGTCTTGCCTCACCTCAGGATGTGTGCGTCAAGTTGGCCCCGGGGCCGCACAGCCCAACCCGCCCATTCCCATCTGAACCTGAAAACGGACCTTTTGTTCATGAATTCATTCATTGCTGCCAAATGCCACGTCACACCACGCTGTTGCCATCCTCACCAGTATCAGTAAGTCATTTAAAACTCCACATGTTTGTATTACGTGAATATTTTCCTTGCATTTACTAAATTATACTTTTCTGAAATCTTTTATAAGACACAAGCCAAGTGCAAATCACACGTGGATACAGAAAACGCCTTCCGCATGTAACATTGCCAAAGTACGTCATTCTATTACTATTCTAGACACAGAGACACTAACAAATGTAGGTTAGGCTCTGTGATGCTCTGTTACCGGGGAGCGCACCCTGTTACTGGGGAGCACACCCCACACATTAAACACCGTATCCCACCTGTTACCGGCGAGCACACCCCACACATTAAACACCGTATCCCACCTGTTACCGGGGAGCACACCCCACACATTAAACACCGTATCCCACCTGTTACCGGGGAGCACACCCCACACATTAAACACCGTATCCCACCTGTTACCGGGGAGCACACCCCACACATTAAACACCGTATCCCAAACCTAGCAGCTCCCTCATTTCCTACCTCTTCCATATTCTTATATTTATTCGTATAATATTATATAGCTTTTGCACTGTTTTTTGATCCTGCTTGTTTCTTTGTTCTTGTCACTTTTATTACTCATTATACATCGCGTTGTTCCTGTATGGAACCCCACCACACCAAAGAAAATTCCCTGTAGTGTCAACCTACTCGGCATTAAGCTAAATTTTGATTCTGATTCTGAATTGTCACCAGGAGCAGGAAGCTTGAACACACAAACCCTCCTCTTAGTTCCCTGCACTGGCTTCCTGTTAGATTCAGGACTGACCTCGAAGTTCTCCTCCTTACATATAAGGCACTTAACGGTCCACTCAGATCACAGAATGCAGGTTTCCTTGTCGTTCCCCATATAAATAAAGTTACAGTGGATGGTAAAGCATTCTGCTACAAGGCTCCTATATTGTGGAATGGTTTGCCAGTCTGTGTTTGGGATACCGAATCGGTCTCAGTCTTTAAATCACAACTGAAGACCTATTACTTCGGTTTAGCTTATTACTCACAACGTAACACATAACACACTGTAACTATAGCTGCCGGTGCTGCTGTACATGGCACCTTTATCTACTGTGCTTCCGCATGTTCTGACCCCTCATGCTCTCTGCCTTCCTTCCCACACATCCAGAAGGAGCGCGATGTTCTTCCTGCAGAACATCGGCGTAATTGGCCTGCTCTTTAGTACTGCACTGTACCAGTGTGTCTGTGAGGACAGCAAAAGCCAGTTAGGGCCCACAGGATCCACACATGTCCTGAGACATCCCTGGGGCAATGCAGTCTGGCAGCCCCAAGGCGCAAGTGATCTAAGCATCCCGGCGGCCACCAGGGGGACCCCCGATCTGAGCTGGCTGTCAGGATGGGAAAGAAACTGACAAATGACAAGTAGGTTAGTCACGCAACCTGAAAGGGACCCTGAATGGGGACAGGCCAGCACAAACACATGCCACACCAGTTAAATGACAAGCTTGAGCCTGAGGGGTCCCTGCTCAATGTCATAGTATAATCTGAATTGTTCCAGAGAGACATGTACAATGGTAAATGGTATATCAGCTGAGGTCCCGTAATCAGACCCATGTAAATGTAGCATTGATTGTTGTGTTAGTGGGGAACTGCCATCATCAGTTGTATAAATTCTAGTGTCCTAAAAACCCTAACCTTAAATCTGACCTGTATTTTTATTTCATTGCACATCCCCTTGAAGGTTTAAGGTTTTTTTTTTGTCATTTACATGAAGAAATCAGCTGACCATCATGAATTTCTTCAGTCTTCACAGAGTTAATACGGCCATGGGCTGTGGTTTGTAAGTAGCAAAATGGTTCCGTTAATTCAATTGAACATTAACTTTTATGTTTACTTTTAAAAACACTAAAGAAAAACACGACACCTTCCTCTTCCTGAAACGTTTCTTTTCAACAAACCCTCTCTTGTGCCTGGTCAGTTGGCCTTATTTGGCTGGTAAATAACAAAACTATAGTCGCAAACCAGACAGCGGTACAAGTCCAGTGTTTCTCATGCCAACACACGTCAATCATGTAAGCTTATCTTTTCTCTTGTTTTTGTTTCAAATAAGCAGGATTTTTTTTGCTTAGATAGGTAACTTGTTGGATTTAAGATAGTCTGGGATAAATGTAAGTGAACATACAATAGATGAAGTCCATTTGAACTGGGGTACCTTAAATCCGAAAAGTAACCTGGCTAAGCAAGAAATCTCACTTTGTGATACAGGTGTTTTGCTATTACAATTAATCGCCATATGTCATACTACAAATTCATTTTCCACTAATCCCTGAGAAGCCAGATAGATACACTATTGATGGACAAAAGTATTGGAGCACCTGCCCGATACACCCACAGGAACTTTTATGACACCACATTTGAAATTTTTACACATCAGTGTGGAGTTGGTTCCCCCTTTGCAGCTGTAACAGCTGCCCCTCTTCTGAGAAGATTTTCCACCAGACTTTGGAGTGTATCTGTGGGAATGTTTGCCCATTCATCCAGAAGAGCATTTGTGAGGTCAGGCACTGATGTTGGATGTGAAGGCCTGCATCCTGTTCTGATGAGTGCAATAAACAAGTGCTCTGTTGACCAATCACAAGGTTACCGCCCCCATCTGACAACCATATTCTGCATGGTTCCCCAAACCCTATCGCACACCAGTCTGAATCACAATCTCTGATGGGCCTGAGGTCAAACTTCTGTGCAGGCCAGTCAAGTTCATTCACATCAATCTCACCCAACCATGTCTTTATGGACCTTGCTTTGTGCACTGGGGCACAGTCATGCTGCAACAGAAAAGGGCCTCTTCCCCAAACTGTTCCCACAAAGTTGGAAGCATAGAATTATCCAAAATCAGTTGTTAATGGCTGAAGCATTAAGAGTTTCCCTTCACTGAAGCTAAGGGCTTCAGGCCAACCTCTGAAAAACAAACCTGTACCATCATCCCTCCTCCACCAAACTTTACAGTTGGCACAATGCAAGTAACATTCTAATCGCATCTGTCAAACCCAGACTCATCCATCAGACTGCCAGAGAGAGAATCATGATTTGTCACTCTGCAGATCGTGTTTCCACTGCTCCAGAGTCCAGTGACATCATGCTTCAGACCACTCCATCTGACGCTTGGCATTGTGCTTGGTGATGTGAGGCTTGCATGCAGCTGCTCAGCCATGGAAGCCCAATCTATGAAGCTCCTAGCGCACAGTTTTTGTTCTGTGGTTAATGCCAGAGGAAGTTTGGAACTGTGCAGTCATTGAGTCAACAGAGCATTGGTGACTTTTACACAAAATGCACCTCAGCACTCAGTGATCCCGCTCTGTTACTTCACATGATCTAACACTTCATGGCTGAGTTTCTGTTGTTTCTAGATGCTTCCACTTTGCAATGATACCACTTACAGCTGACTGTGGAATATCTAGCAGGGAAGACATTTCACAAACTGCCTTTTGCAAAGGTGGCATCCTGTGACAGTGCCACATTTGACTTCACTGAGCTCTTCAGAATGACCCATTCTTTCACAAATGTTTCTAAACCTGACTGCATGGCTAGGTGCTTCATTTTATATACCTGTGGCAATGGGTCTGAATGAAACACTTGAATTCAATGATTAAGGGGTGTGCCCAATTCTTTTGTCCATATAGTGTATTGTCATGGGGCTAGGAGACTTGGGGGAAATAGAAGGACAGCAGTGCCCCTCGGGGATGTAGGAGGACAGCTGTGCCCCTCGGGGATGTAGGAGGACAGCAGTGCCCCTCGGGGGATGTAGGAGGACAGCTGTGCCCCTCGGGGATGTAGGAGGACAGCAGTGCCCCTCGGGGGATGTAGGAGGACAGCAGTGCCCCTTGGGGACGTGGGAAGGGTACACAGAAAGAGGTCTGTGACAAGGTGAAGGGAGGGGAATCAGGACAGCCATCCTCCAGGATTTCCCTTGCAGAAGGAGCACACATGCATGCCCCTGACCCTCCCCAAATTGTCTTTCCAGCTTGCACTTCAAGCCCAGCAAGGGAAGACTGTCTCTTTTCAATACAATCTGTTAGTTTGCTTTAAATGACTTGAGCATTAAGTGAAATAATAGTAAAAACTAGGCAGTGCTGACGCCTGTGACATGACAGACAAGCAGAGCTTATCAGCGCAGAGTGTGATGGCAGCCTTTGGGTGATTGGCTCCGTCTCCTGAGTCTGTGATTAGGCCTCTCTAGCATCTGCTATCTTATACTTCAGTTTGCTTTTACCTTCCTCAATGTAAATATCTCAAAAGGTTTTAGAGTGAGCAAAAGTGAGGGGGCTTCATGGTCACCCCTGGCCCCCACTTACAGTGCACTCTGTCTGCACTCCTGTGCGTGATTTGTATAGATATGATATAAAGGCACAGTCAAGGCTGGAAGGGGATTTGGTATGGGGGCGGGGCCAATCATTCTTGTTATTTGCATATGATGTCATCCTTACAGCTTCATCTAACCAGAATACCCAGGATGCACTTGAGCCGTTTTAGAGAACAGTGGATCCCTCCTTTCAGGTGAGGGGAAGAGCCTGTCCTGAGTGATGGAGTTTTAAGTACCTCTGGATCTTCTTCACAAGTGCTGGTAAGAGGGAATGTGAGATTGACAGGCAGATGAATTCAGTGGATGCAGTTTTGAGGGCACTGGGGAGGGCTGTGGTGGTAAAGCAGTAGCTAAACCAGAAATTTCCTGATCAATTTGCATCCTAAGCGACACCTGAGGTCACCAGTGGTGGGTAATGACTGAAAGAACAAGGTCACAATGACATGCTGCCAAAATGAGGTGTCCCCACAGGGTGGCCAGGCTTTCTCTCCGTAACCAAGTGAGGAGTTTGAAGCTCCTGAGATACCTTTCAGAGTGAGAGGAGTCAGCTGAGGCGGTTCGGGTCCCTCATAAGGCTGCTGCCTGGACAGCTGGTCTGGAAATGACTCATCCCTGGGATTCGTTTAGGCATAAGTTCGAGTTTGAGGCCTTAGAAAAAAAGGTTGGGTCTGACCTGCTCAGGGTGTGGACACCACTTCCCTCACCAGGACATGCAGAAGAATGGAGATGCGTCATGCAGACCTCCCTGGTGCGTCATGCAGACCTCCCTGGTGCATCATGCAGACCTCCCTGGTGCATCATGCAGACCTCCCTGGTGTGGCTAGAGCTATTTTATTTATGTGCCTTCTGGAAGCTAATAACACACCATATAACATGGTGGCTCAGCACCGAACTTTCAAGTATGTAATGGAATAAAGAGCCTGGTTCTCAGGTGCCACTGATTTCAGTAAAATGAAACCTCAGTTAGATTTTCATATGGTTTATTTAACATTTTTTTTTTACATTTTACAGCCAGAAAATGCATGTATCTCATAGTTTATCACAGTTGTGAGTGTTTATATTATGGAGACCTTTCGTGTTTCCGTCACAGATCATGGACATGGACGCCATCTTGGTGCTCTGTGTCCTACTCCTGCCCCTGCAAACATCGTCGTTCCAGAAGCGAATGGAAGCTAAATTAAGTCAAACCATAACCACAAGCTCCAAATTACCAGAGGATGCACAGGACAGCTGACAATGAAAGCGGGGCCACGTGTCACCACCACATTGCCACACAAACCGCAGGACGGTCAGCACACTGCCAGCTGCATGATCAGCCACTGGCACTGAACAATGAGGGACTCGACAAAAGTGTAAGAACATGCACTAACAATAAGCGGAAATGAGGACTGCTGACATTAAGGTGGGGTTGGGGTGATAAATCACCACGAAACCAGCAACTTTAAAGAAGTGAGGTGCTGAGAGGAGGTAAGGGATGCCTTCAGCGCAGCTCAGAGGCTCAGGAGCAGGTGAGGGATGCCATCAGCACAGCTCAGAGGCTCAGGAGCAGGTAAGGGATGCCATCAGCACAGCTCAGAGGCTCAGGAGCAGGTGAGGGATGCCTTCAGCACAGCTCAGAGGCTCAGGAGCAGGTGAGGGATGCCATCAACACAGCTCAGAGGCTCAGGAGCAGGTAAGGGATGCCTTCAGCGCAGCTCAGAGGCTCAGGAGCAGGGAAGGCATGCCTTCAGCGCAGCTCAGAGGCTCAGGAGCAGGTGAGGGATGCCTTCAGCGCAGCTTAGAGGCTCAGGAGCATGTGAGGGATGCCTTCAGCACAGCTCAGAGGCTCAGGAGCAGGGCTGGTCCACAGCTGGCAGGGCAGTATTGATGGTGGCATGAGGGGTCACCCCTAGTGCTTCATATTAGTCAGCAAGATGCAGAGTATAAGGCCCAGAAGAAGGCTTCTGGAGACCAGGATGCAAGTACCTCCCCCCAAGGCAGCTTGAGACATTACATGGGTACTTGGTTCTGTAGCCCAGCTGGTGGTGGTTCTGTCTGTGGGGTTCTGCGTTACACTGGGTGTGCTGGGGGTTCCTGTGCTGGTGGGGCCCATGCTGTTTGTGAGGGTTCTTGGCATAGCAGAGGAGATGGTGTCCTCAGACACGACAGCAGAGCTGCTGTTCCACTGGAGGGGGGCGGTGATGTTGGTCGTCAAAATGGTGCTCTTTGTGCTCAGGGTGGAAGCTGCTGGCAGTGAAGAATTCATCTCGTCAGCCTAGCAGAGCAGAGACAGGCAGAAGGAGTAAGGAGGGGTGGCGGGGGAGCGATTTTAATCAGCTATCAGGGTTACAGAGACGGGATCAGCAACACAAAAATGGTGGACAAGATGTTCGGCAAACAAGGGAAGGAGAAGGCAACGTCAGCCAGATGGAGAGAACAAAAGAAGCCAAACATTTACCATGAACGATGAAATGACGCACAGGTGGGCTGGATTTGTATAACTTGCTACCGTACCCCAGTGTGACTGCAGGCCACGCCTTGAGATTAATGTGTCACTACTATACCAATAACATCGACTTTTCAGTGTGAAACATAACAAAGACCGTAAGCGCGACTCCAATCCTAACTGCCATTTTGGCTGTTGTGTGAAATTTGTCCTGAAGAGCATGTCTTTGACATTTGGAGGAAATCTACAAGGGCATGCAGAACACGTGTAAACTGCAGACAAGCTCACCTATACCTACCAGTGACTGATGTAAACATTAGCTCACACCCCCACTCTGATGAGCAGAAATGTTTGTTTTTTTAATTTACAACAAAACTGGAAATCCACTGAGCTAGAATATTAGCATACTTCCATGTTTCTAACAACATTATTTTTATTTTGTTGCTTTCGTTTGTGAATTGGTTTATTTAATTTAATTCAACTGAAATTAGCTAAACACAAGCCATCCATACACCCAGACCTCTTTACTAAAACAGTCAGCAGTGATGCTTCTGATGGGGTCTTTCAGTCAAAATCCAGGCCTTCGTCTTCGTATGTCGTCTGCTGCTCAAACATGAACTTTCATCCATCCATCCATCTATTTTCTATAATCGCTTGTCCTATTCAGGATTGTGGGGGGGGTCAGGAGCCTATCCCGAAGACTACAGACACAAAGCAGGGAACAACCCAGGATGGGGCACCAACCCACTGCAGGAAACACAAACATGTGGAACTAAATATTTCATAACTCAAATAGGTGGAAAGAAAGATGGCCATTGTTTACTGTAAATCACCTGCTTATAAAATGTACTTTACTGATTACTGGATTCTTTAATCTGTTTAACCAGCATTGATTTTAATAAAGCCCCACGTCATCTACCTATTCACTCTTATCATTTTTGCCTTTTGTTAATAAGCCTTTTTATGAGTGGGCCATTTGTCTTTTTGCTGATAAAATGGCCCAATGTTAATTAACCCACCCATGAAGGTATGTAGGAGGCTGTACCTACCGCAGCGTGCAGCAGCAGCAGAAGGGGGAGGCCACGCCACGGGGAGAAGCCCTTCATCATGCCCCGCGTCTCCTGGCACCCCCGTCCCAGTGTGGTCCCCTGCACAGTCTCCTTCTCTTTTTATATCCGCAATCCTTAGCCTGGGGGGGGGGGCGCTTTTGATATGTAAAAAGGTCATGCAAATCAATAAGCTGTGGTGGGGGGGGGCATATGAGTGGAGCCCTCCAAGGCAGGACAGGTTCCATGCTCGATTTCTGGAGTGCAGTGATTGGCTAAAAGCCAGGGCTCCCGAGTAGGACAGCCAATGTCTGGCCCCCGCAAAACCTGTCATGTTCGTCAGTGTGTCCTGGCTAAGCTGGCGCCCCCATCAGGCCACATCAGGAACCCCACACTCCCAGCAAATTGTATTGTCAGCACCCCGCCCCTCCCCCAGCAGATTTAATCTGCATATAAAACAGCTTAGACCGGTATAACAGAGTAACACCCAGGGGCAGTGGCCATTGGCTTGGTGTCGGTGATAGAAATTGGCCTTGAGGGAAAAATAATTTTTCGTTGTTTTCAGATGAGGCCACCAGTGACCTAAAGTTGGGCTCCCAACACAGAACGTACTCCAGCAAAGCACGCAGAAACGATCCTTACCCACAAGCTTACGCCATCGCCGTCGTGAGGTTTGGAAACTCGTTCTTCATTCATGGCCTAGCAGAGGCATTCCTAAGGAACAGCTGCGGGGGGGGGGGGGCATGTAAAAATATCTTTGCCCGATGGTGTGTCAGTGAACAGGCACCCTGCTTCCTTCCTAGCAGGGGAAAAAATAAGATTTTTTAAATATTTCATCTGCGTATTCAGGTGATTTCAACTGGATTAAGGCAAGTATTGAAAAACATATTTGTAACGTGAGCTATTCAAAGACAAAGAGCAGTGAGGCTTCATAGCTTTATACTTAGAAATAGACTGGTTAACCAAAATTCCAGAAGTGTTATGTGAACAACAGGATAAGAAGGCTCCTATAGTTCTGTGCCGCCTCTTACATCTTAAGAATTTATTAGGATGTGAAGTCAAACAAAAGGGCCTTTATGAGGGAGTATACACTACATGCCTTTTCTCAGCCATGAGAGTTACTCATTAAATTTTCCTTACTCCATTCCTATGACACATGGTTAAAGGTCCCCATTACAGGTGTAAACCTGGCTTAACAGGCAAGCTGTCTGCTGAGTTTTTCTCATTACCGCTGCTCAATACACAGCTCCGTCTGGCTGCCTTTCATATTTTTGCTCACAATGGATCCATGCTGTGCATAAATTAATTGGCCAAACACATTAAGTCATTTTTAAATTTTCTTTTCCTTTTGTTGTTACTGTGCTAGAACAAATTCTTGTAAAATTGTTTTCCCCACCTCTGCTAACTTCCCACACCGGTTCTGACCTGTTCCCCTTGTGTTCCGCCTGCGTGTCACTTGTTCTGACCTGTTCCACACTCGTTTGTCACTTGTGGTCACTGCATGCAGGCTGGGGTGGAGACATACTGTTTCATTTGCATTATGATTAATTTATGAACAAACAGACCTTTATAGCTGCCTAAAACCATGTCTCAGTTACTTGAACAACTGGATTCATAGCCTTAAAATAACAACCTAACTAATAAACACTGGTAACGTGACACCTGGGAGACTCCTATATTAAAACGTTGCCGCTTACAGTGTGCAGACTTACTTACATTGTAACAGAGAAATGATAGAATAATACATAAAATAATGATTAGGAATTATAATAACGTTATTGTATAAGCTTTGTCTGAGCTGTAACATTTTCAAGGACAAAGAGCAGGAAGTGTTATTTGCTTTACATTTAAAAAGCTGGAGCGATTACTTATCAGCCTGGTAATTCAGACTTCCTCGTGCGAAGTGACATCATTGGGAAAGATACTTGGCATATGCAGCTTTGTGGCGCAGTCGCTTAACCTTTATTTTCAATAGTTTTTCATCTACATTGCCCTTGGTGTAAATGGGCAGCAGGATAAATCTGCTTATTTGAATACGGAACCAGGCCCAAGCCCACCAAGTCTCACGCACCTGGCGTGACACTCAGGCTCTCATACTTTCACGTGAGTGTAAATGCGGATGCAGACTTATCACAAAATGAAAATCTCACGCCAGCACACCTGTGGTGGAACCAGAAAATTTTCAGTGGGGGGGGGGCCAGGCTGGGACCAGAGGTCATTTTGGGGTGACACGTAAATCTAAATACAGTGGACCCTTGACTTACAAACTCAATTCATTCGCGAGGGCTGGTCGTAACTCAAGTTGGTCGTAAGTCGAGACTATTTTCCCATAAGAAATTATTGAAATACCCATAATGCATTCCAAACCTCCCAAAGCACCACTTGACTAACCTTTTCATAACAAAAAAGGGTTGTATAATGTGTGTGATTTACCAGAAACACCAATAATTTTCCTAGTGTACTCACTCGCCTTTCGTTTATCCACACTAATAGTAGCCTTTCTACCTCGTCTAACTCTTTTGATCATGGCTTACTAATTTCAGTAACACCTTTAGCAACATCATCATCATTTCCTTATACAAATTCTTTGTAAGATTGTTGAGATGGTGGATGTCGACATGCTGTATATATTAGCCAGATCGGTCACATGAACGTCACTCATATTTCTGCACAATTTCCTTCTTTACCTTCTCTTCCTTCCCTAGCTTCTTTTCTAGTTTTTTGGGGCCATTTTGATTAGCGAAATTACTTATATAAAGATCTGCACTGACCAAAATAAGGTCCACAAACAGGCGTATCTGGGCTCAGACTGATGCTTACAGACGCCTCTCAGGCATCTCAGGGCATCTCGGGCCCTTGTTTACAACTGCACAAGCGGATACACGTTTTGGCCTCCATTGGCATTCGGGTCGTAACTCAAGACTTTGGTCGTAAGTCAAAACTAAAATTTTGATCGTAACCCAAGTTGTTCGTATGTCAGGACGGTCGTAACTCGAGGGTCCATTGTATGAATATAAGGCATCAAAAAATGAGAATATTTTAGGTACCTGAACACCATAACTCTACATTGTTTATAATTCAGGCAGTGGTGGAATTGTCAAGTACACATCTGTTTCTTGCAGTGATTGTAGCAAGTTTACACTAAGTATAAGATTCCCAAACTTCTGCATTACTCCTATTCTGAGCACATGTTTAGCTCAGCAGGACTATGAGTTCATTCTTTATCACTATATCATCAGGGACACAGAGAAACAGTTACGGAAATAAAAGGAGTTTTTTTTTTTTATCATTTGCATTGTGATTTAATCACATATGTATATGCAGCTGACCAAAGTTGGCAAGAGTGTTAAGAACTTGGCTGATAAGGGAAAGTGAGGGAGAGGATGCTTCTGCGCCATTACGGCCCGCAATTTTTCCCAGACAATCGTAGATCACCCTGTGAAACGAGTTCGAGTTAAATGCCGACTAGCGGCAGATGGATACTTCAGACAATTGCTCTCATAATCCATATTAGTAAACATTATCATTGAACAATATTTACTATTTAGTACTTTTCTAGCACCCCCTAGTGGATTCTGTGAGATGTATAAGGTAGGCCGAAAACAGGAAGTTACGTAATGATACGCCGGTGGGTCTACTTGGTCAAAATGAGTTTGTGACGCGTCCGAAGTAAGGAAGCGCGTTGTTACTCGTTTTAAAATTTAAGTTCAATGAAAGAGTGGAGCCGGCTGGGGCTCGGTTCTGCTGTGATTCTCAGTAAGTAAGTAGCGGTCGGCCTGAGCGTTTTCTTCTGGCGGTTAGCGGCCGGGCTAACTGGCTAGCATTAGCCTGCTTTGTTTTGGGGGAAGCCCCTTGGTCCGGCACCGCGGCACGGTGGCGCCTCTTTGCTTTCATTTACGGTCACTTTGCGGTACTTCTGTCTGAAGGGCCCGCGTCCTGATGTTCTGTTAGCTAACCATATGTGAATCTTAATTGTTAGAAACACTTGGCTGGCTTATCTTCCTGGGAGGTATCTATGCGTGTATCGCTGCACTTCATCCTTCGCAATGGTTGTGGTTTGATTGCGGGATAGCGGAAAGGCAAGACATAAAGTACAGTACAGTACTGTAAAGTACACACAATCACCGAGAGCAAATAATAATGTAAATACGAATTCCCTATACTTTAATAAAGAGATCGCTATCGCGCGCATCTTCTGATTTCAAACAGAGAAAGATGAAGCGCTTTTATGCTTAGAATGGGTGCTGAGAAAGAAGACGGCGGCTGAAGCTGAGGCGAAAAATTTTATTGAATGTTTTATTTTAAATATTTCATTGAATTTTATTGTACAGTGCAAGTTTATATGTAGTTACGTAGCACAGTGCGGGTGCTGTATCTGATTCATTTCTGCTTATTGTATCTGTCTATCACACTGTACACCCACTTTCAAGCGTCTCTCCATCAGTGTATATAGACGTCGGACGTTACTGGTGTAGGATGTCGATGGGTACCTTGTATATGGTTTCTCAAGATAACCATGTTCCGCCAGTAAAAGGACAAACTAGTCATGCCTTGTTTTATATTGTGATTCACACACAGGCCAGTGGCTTGTGGGATGGTTTGAGTGCACTTGGAGCCATATCAGCCTTGATCTGTGCAGTATTGTAATCTCTGCCCCCCCCCCAACCCCAGGTCCTCATGTCTGCCGCTTTGCCCGCGAAGGGGCCCGGCCTTCCTGGCATGCCCAGCTTGCCTCCCCAGCAGCAGCCGGCCCCCCACGGCCCCCCCACAGCCGGGCCCAGCCAGGCCACCATGCCTCTGCGTGAGATCTCGCCCGTCTTCCTGTGTCGCATTGGCCAGGAGACTGTGCAGGACATCATCACGCGCACCATGGAGATCTTCCAGATAACTCGTGCCACACAGGTTAGCATTCTCCTCCCACTCGCTCATGCACCTGTTTCCTTGTCTCTCTTTCCCTTCCAACTCTTCCCTGTCCCTCCACACGCACACACACACACGCTACCCTGTCCCTCCACACGCACACACACACACGCTACCCTGTCCCTCCACACGCATACACACACACACGCTACCCTGTCCCTTCCCTCTGTATGTTTCCTTATACATCCATTTCCTCTTACATGTACACTTATCTTTTCACACAGATACAGTGTACTTGTTTCCGTGTATCTCTTTCACCACACACGCACACACACACACACACACCATACCTCCCCATCACGGCAGTGTGTGGCTCAGTCTCAGTGGGTTGGAATGCAAAGCCTGTGATGGGAAGGTTCTTGGTTTAGATCTGTCAGTGGAGCGAGACCCTAACCTGACCCTGCTTACGGATATTACCATCTGCTGAATAAATACGCTGTACAATGAATAAACTCTCGCTTCCACGTTCCCCGGCTGCTTCCATGTCCCTATATTTCATTCCTGCCTTCCCCACACCTGCTGTCTGTTCCCCTCAGTTCCTGGCCCTTCACCCTCTCTCCTCACTCTGGCGCTGAGCTGCCTTCGTTCCCTGACAGGCCCCTCCCCCTGCTTTCTTGTTATAAGCTGCCAAACGGCGTGACGCAGAGCCAGGCCGTGTACCAGGACCGCTTCGGCAAGCTTCAGGAACACCTGCGCCAGCTGAGCCTGCTCTTCCGTAAGCTGCGGCTGCTGTATGAGCGCTGCGTGGAGATGACCTCTGACCTGCAGGAGGCCCCGGCGGAGGTGAGAGCGTGCCCCCTCTAACTGTGACTCCGATTCCGTCTGTCCCCTCCGAGCCGCACTGTATGAATGCGGCCTGATGGTGTCGCCTGTGAACTTGCACGTCTGCTGGAGCTCCTCTGTCCCCTCTGTCCTGGCTGAGGACCCTTCCCATCAACCGGGCACAAATAACAGTTTTATTAAGAAAAACAGAAGACTAAGGTGTGTGTATGGAGCCAGACCCCACATAAGCAGGGTTGCTGATGTCCAGGCCACTGCCTTGACTTGGTGCTGTGTGTGCTTTGTTACTGCTTATTGGTGCTGGAGTGTGAATGACTGCCCTCCACCCCCCCCCAGCTGGTGCCCTATGCTGGAGAAGAGGTGGCCCCCGTCCGGGTGGAACCCTGTAGCCCAGCTGTGATCCACGAGAGGCAGGAGGTGCTGGAGGTACGAGTGTATCTGTTGATCTTCAGATCACATGTATCCAAAGCAAAATCCACGACTGCACCCTGGCTGTGCGTGAGGGTCAGTTCCCAGGCAACCTCAGTATCCCAGAAGGAAGCTTGTTTCTGAATGAATCCAGCACATTATCTAGATACAGCTGTGACTCCACTATTAAATTTTAATGATGTAATTGCAGAAAGTAAGGATGAAGGTGATTGTAGATGAAGCTGTCGGCCATATGCGTAATAATGCAGGTCATTATCAAATGGTGCTGGTCTGAGGATGGTGTGTACATCTGCTAACCTCCACAGAAGGTGAGGCAGAAGAACCAGGAGATGAAGGGGCTGATGGACCAGATGAGGAATTTGTTGTGGGACGTCAATGCCATGTTGACCCTGAGGAAGTGAACTGCCCGACAGTACCGACAGCTCGGGGGGTTCGGTCTGCCTGCCCTCGGGGTGTTGCTGTACTAACTTCTGGAGGACTCTTTCCTTCTTGCCCTCTTATAATGCCCTGCTGTTATGTTGAAGCTCCCTCTTTGCGATGAGTGTGTTTGGCTGTGAGGCGCCGCCCTGGTGGTAACCGGCCATAAATGCATCACGGTTGAAAAAGTCAATCATGGCGTTCTCAGCAAGTCAGACACGTCCACTTTGAATAATGTCGGCAGCTACTGTCTCAGGGACGGCGGCCGGTGTGATGGACCAGATGACCGGCTTACCTCAGCAGGGGGGGTGGGTAGTCTCACATCGCTCTGGCAGACCAAAGACCCGAGAGGTGGACCTGAGTGGGCCTGTGTGATGTCTGTGTTTTTGTACCGAAATAAAGTGTGAATCCGTTTTTGTCTCCCACTCTCGGCTGGTGTTCCTGCTGTCCACTGGGGAAAGTCGTTTCTCTTTATAATGCTGCATGGGTGATTCGGATTTCCATTTTGGGAGCATGCGTCATCGTCACGCAGCAGCAGCAGGATTAGAGGTCCAGATCCTTCTGCTTAAACTATCCTTCTGTCCTTGCCGCAGTGTGTCAGCGCGGGTCCCCGCCGACGGTGGCTGTCACACGCCGGCGGATGTGACGCCGTCGGCCTGTGGGCAGGGCAGTCGCACAGACCCCCACGCTGAGCTCTCCGGCCCCTCCCCCATCTCGCTGCTTGGATGATTCCCAAACCCACTGTGCCTCCCGTCATCAAGGGTGGGACGGGGGTGTGAAACTGTAACTGTGTAGCTGCTGCTTTAGGTATGAAGGTGGTTGATTCTGTCGCCTGAACGCTGTATCTGCATAGGTTCGTAGGTTTTGCCCTCTGACCTGGGGCTTGGGACCAGAAAATGAGACATTCACCTTACTGGATGTTTGTGGAAATGCTGAGTAACTTCTGGTAGTGCCTCTCTGTAGATCAGTGCTTCCCAACCCAGTGCTCAGGGAGCCCAAGAAACATTGTTCTAGATCATGCTAGTACAATCTAGGTAACTTTATGAATGGCAGGTGCTGCTGGCGCTCGGGTCTCCACCTGCATTTGGGGGGGTCGGCCCTGTGACAGACTGGCATCCTGTCTGTAGCGATCGTCCTGCTGCCTGAGACCCCAGACTCACTGTGACACTGCACTGAATGAGTGGCAGGCTGCTGCATGGATTTAATTACAGCATTAGAGATATATATATAAAAACATGAGATGTGTAAGCGATGAGCCTTGTCAGTGTATGCTTTGGAAATTTAATTAAGAGACTCCAGTGGCACAAATTTACTTAGGAAATGTATTTTATTGATTCTGCAGTTACGCTGAGGTGCAGGAGGAGTTATTTCTGAAATGACCCCTCCGCAGGTTCCACTGCCACTTTTCTGGAGCCCAAGGCAAGATCAGGCAGCATAAGCCAGCTGATCAGGGCATGGGTCCGTTGGCACGGGAGAGCCAGAGGCGCTTGCCCTCCTCCCTCGTGTTTGTGCGTGAGCTGCCGTCGTGCCAATGCACCCTGCCACACCCCAATATCAGAGCTCTGGTGCCGACCCGCACGGTGCTGGACAGCTGCCTTCCTTCAGAATCCAGCACGCATTTCATGATTCCTTGTGATTCGTCCCCGGGGCTGTTTGTCCGCAAGAACCGCCACCCCCTTGACCCCTCCTCCTTGCGAGGGGGACAGGTGGGGGCCGGATGCACCCCGTCTCCCCAGTGAGCTCTTGCTCACTCCCCCATCAGCGGTCCACCCGTGTCAGACACGCTCCAGGTCCTTGTATTTCTTGCGCAGGACGGACACCTGGTCCCGGAAGAGCACGGGGTCCAGGCGGAACTGGGAATGTTCCAGCGGCATGTAGCCAAACCAGTTGGCGAAGGTGTTTACACACTCCTGTCTCTGAGGGAAGTGCTCCGGGTTTGACCAAGGCCCGTTTTTCGTTCCCTGAAAGAAAGGCAGGGTTGCCGTTGTTATGGGAATGCCGTTATGGTGGACTCGGCTCGCCTGGCGCAGACGGGCGCGTTCCTACCTGCAGGCCGGCAGCCTCCCTGTGCTGCTTCCTCTGGGCCACCTTGATGGGCGGCAGGTGGGTGACGGCGGACACCAGGAAGTTCATAAGGATGTCATCACAGTTGGAGGTGTGGTCCACCAGAGCCCTTAGTGACGGGGGCAGGTACTGGGAGAACAGGTAGTGGTAGTACCTGGGGCAGGAGACGGAGCACAGCTGCATTATGGGGCTTGTCCTGGATCCACCTGAGGGCCTTTTAACTGTCTGAGGTGCAGCATGGGGACTGAGTGTCCTCACACCCACAGGGTTTTGGGTTCAAGTCCCACCTCCACCTGCCTTTGTGTGGAGTTTGCACACGCTTCGTCCCACAGGCCACAAACATGCAGATATATTTGTAGACTCTAAATTGCCCTAAATTGTGTTTGGAAATTGGATAGATGGATGGATGGATAGATGGATAGGTTAATCTGTGCCGTCATCTTTGTGCAGATGTCAGCTGGAAGGACATCCAGCAGTGTTACAGGAATACGTGTAGCGGTGGGCGGGGGGGCGGTGCCTGTCACCTGTGGTAGAAGGCTGCCCCCGTCAGCACCATGGAGTACTCGTTGGTCCATTTGGACGTGTAGCCCCACAGCTGCTTGCTGGCATCCCAGAAGTGGCTCCGGGGAGGGTAGCCCACGATCCGCTCGGGGAAGCTGAGCCACACCAGGAAGGCGAAGTTGACCTGCAGAGCGATGCAGCTGGGTAAGCCCGGCCCGGCCCGGCTCTGTGCCCGGACCCTAACGAGCCAGCAGAGAGGCTCTTTCTGTCTGTACTTTTTCATAATGTAGTGTGTCTATCTTTACAGGCCAAAACTTCCACCAAACTCTGTGTTGTGTCTCAGCTCTGCAGTGCACAGTGTGACCCAGGAAGTGATTGATCCTGGTGCTGCTTATGGTCTGACCCTCAGAGGCCCGGGGAGAGCAAATAGTGTCTCTGTGTGTTTGGGGAGAATGTTGGTGGTTCCAGGAAAATGGCCTCTGACCTCACTAGTCAGCAGAACCGCGTCCTCATCCAGGCTGAGCACCGCATCCGTTTCTATGGCAACATGAGGCAGGAAGCGACTGGTAGTCTGTGGGGGGACAGAGGTTTATGGGTCATTTATGTGCCTTGTATTTTTATCTGAACAGTCCTGGGGAGGCCTGGGCCATTTCGTTTGACACCCACCTTTCTCCGGCCGTCCATCACGGTCAGGGGGACGGGCATGGGGGGCCACTTGCTGCGAGGGGGGGGCGGCTTCTCACAGTTCCAGAGGATGATGATCTGATGGTGAGGTTGGCAGCACAGAGCACGGTGTTGAGGCTGACATGCACACACACTGACACACACAGACCTTCACAGCTGCAGGGATACCTGAGAGCAGTACTTAGACTTGGACACCACCTGCAGGAGCCGCATGATTGGCTGGGACTGAGACACCAATGGGCTGACAGCGTGGATGACAGCAGTGAACTCCTGGCCGGGGTTCATACCTACAGAAGAGAAGCACACCTTTATTTTTTATGGGTAACTAAGATTTATTATGTCAAATTGGATTCAGCTACAGAGAGCAGAGAGGGATGCTTTAAATGGACTTTATACTGGATCATTCTGTAACTTCTTAGTTACAATATGGAACTAGATTAACACTGAATGATCCTGCAGTTTAAAATAAGTGAGAGCATGTGACTGGCTCACATAGCACAGGGCTCAGTTCGTACTGAACAGGAACAGGAAGGCGGGTGAAGTTTGCTCTGCGTCTCTCATCATTCTCATGCAAAGCTTTTCGTGAAGATGATTATCGGTCCGGTACAGTTTATTGGTCTATAACTTGGTTTAACTGCCTTACCGATGGAACAGAAAAACCACTCTGGCTGCAGTGTGTGACCACACCCCCCCCCCCCCCCCCCCCCCCCCCCCCACACCCCCCCCCACGTACCCTGGCTCAGGTAGTAGAAGGGGAAGTGTGCCAAGTGGGTGGAGTATTCAGGAAGCACCAGCAGCCCCCCAGGGAGAGAATTCCACATCAGCTTACTCCTGGAGATATGGGAAAATACCCGGTCCTTTATAATCTGCAAGGGGGGGAGATGCGGGGAAGATTGGGGGGGGGGGGGGGGGAGTTAATATCCAGACAACTGAGCATTGGTGAGCATTCTATAAGGCCATTCAGCTGTCTGGGTGGCAGCTCTCACTCTGAAACGCACACTGTCAGCGAGGATGTGAGCGAAACACCCACTTCTATATGCTGACCACTAGATGGGGCTGTTGAGTTGAGTTTCGCCGCGCACAGACGCGCTGCCTCTCACCTCCAGCGTGGTGAGCACGATTTTGTCCACGGAGGAGAAGTAGGCGTCCCACAGCATCTGGGTCTGCTGCCGCATAGCCAGCACCCTCTCGTCATCCAAGGCCCTTACGGTGGAGGGCACCTGCGGACAGGGGGCAACACACTAGCCGTGATGAACCACTCCAAGCCACCTGTGCCACTCAGAAGTTAGCAGGACCGGTGCAATCACAGCTGCATCCAGCTCTAGGAGGGACCTGAGCAGGTAGGGGACCAGCCTCTGACCCAGCCCAGCTATAGAGAGGTGTTGTGTGCGACAGCTCAGAGGATTAGGGTTGTGACCAGAAGGTCGCTGGTTTGAGATCGAGCTTCAGTAGAACAGCCACGTTGTGTGTTTCAAAGGAGGGCACGATGGGACAGACACCACGCAGCATTGTTTCATTCAGATTGGCACGTTACCTGCAGGAGTAGCCTCTCATCCCCTTCGATGACAGCCTGATTCCACTGGATGACATCAGAAAAAGGCAGCTCCCAGCCGTTGCTTAGCAACACGGGGATGCAGGCGGCCTGAGGGAATAAAGCCACAAGGTGCATGCTGCCGCTTTTCATGTGCCGGTTTTACAACCGGAGACAAAGGTCTGTGTGCTTTAGTTTTTTTCTGCTTTTCTAGCAAAGTTTAGAAACGTGTTTTTTTTGGCGATTCTGTTCTTGGCTTTTACTTGTTTTTCCGATTTGCTAGGATTAGGAATCAGGATGGAGTCGGAGATGCCACTTTCGGGGGGGGGGGTCTCTGTGGACTGAGCAGACCTCAGGCTCACTTCGTGTTCATGTCACTCGCTACAGTGGCCTACAGAGCCGAGCTAAAGCCTGGGACTCGCCTGGCCGGCTCTCCCTTTGGGAAGGTGCCCTGGCTGGCCACGTGGTATGCAAGCGTGGGTGCTGTTTGTGTCGGGGGGGCGAGGGATGTCGGGGACCCTGCCAGCTCATCTGTGAGTCTTGGCGGAAACTCGGCCCACTGTGGCGGGAAAGACGGAGCAGGCCAAGGCTGGGAGGGGCAGGCAGCACGCTCCCCCAAACCACTGCTCTGTGGCTTTGCCCACTCAGCACAGGGGAAGGTTAGCCTCATTCCCGGCACCCTGCGGCAGCTTCCGGAACAGCAGCCTCATTAGATGGACAGAGTAGTGGCCGGGAATACGAGCCTGTCTGTATGTGTGTATGAGTGTGTGAGTGTGTGCCGACTGCCATCCTAAGCTCCGCCCACTTCAAACTGGCCAACTATGTGTCTGGCCCCCGCTCTCTCCCCCTGTGGGTTTGAGCCGCATATCCAGCCTGTAGTCCGTTGCTACGGAGACGGGGCAGCGGCTGGGGCCATTCCCGGGAGAGGCGGGGTGGGGGCTGTAAACTGAGCTCGGCTGAGGTGAGCCAGCTCAGTGGGCGGGGCCTACCTGCAAAGATTCCAGGAAACGGAAAGATCCAAGGCGCCGCCCACGTGGCACCAGACAGAAGGTGGAGTTATGGAGGAGCTCCTGGTAATCATACCTGCAGGGGGGGGGAGATTTTTCTGATGATCTGCGTCATTTTGGGTGATGCTGGAACAGACAGGTTTGTGGTTCCGAGGCAGGTGACACCTGACAAACTGTCCTGTGATAACAAGTAAGGGCAGCACGTTAATGAACCCCAACTGTGCCGGCGAGCGCAGGACGGATCTGTCAGGGCAGGATCCCGCGCTGGGACAGGCACTGAGTGCTGCCACCCCCCCACCCCCCCGCACTATTCTGCCAAGCTTCTGGGGTCATGCTGTATGCCCCCTAGTGTACGACAGAGGTCCAGGTCTCTGAGGAAGTTGAGCTGAGAGCCAGGAGGGTAAAGGTTCACCGGCAGCTGATAGGGTCTGAGCCGAGACTGCAGTGCTCAACGCAAGCGAAATCTGTACTGCAGGCCCAGCAAGGACGGGGTGGTGTGTGTGTGTGTGTGTGTGTGTGTGTGTGTGTGACTCTGCGTATAACTGTGCTTGTGTGACTCCATGTCTGTGCCTCAGCATGTGTGCAACTCTGTGTGAGTGTGACTCTGTGTGTGTATCTCTTTGTATAACTGTGTGCGTGTTTGACTCTGTGTGTGTCTCTGCGTGAATGTGACTGTGACTCTGTGTGTGTGTGTCTCTGTGTGAGTGTGACTCTGTGTGTGTCTCTGCGTGTGTGTGTGTCTCTGCGTGAGTGTGACTCAGTGTCTGTGACTGTGTGTGTGTGTCTCTGCGTCAGTGTGAGACTGTGTGTGTGGCTGTGTGTGTGTGTGTGTGTGTGTGAGGCCCTGAAAGGGCGCATTGACGCGTGCAGTATGAATAACAGCAGTGTGCTTGTTTGCTGTTTTCTAAGGATGAATCTGTGTACTGATTGTGAACAAACAGCTCCTTTGGTAGAACCAGTGTGGTTAAGCTGCCCGCATGGAGCCGGGCTGGACCCAGCTCTGACTGTGCGGTTCTGTCTGGGCCCCGCATGTGTGCCGGGCCTAAGCATAATGAGCAGATTCTGATCAAAAGCTGGCCTTAGCCTGGGTTAGGAATGGTATGGTTTTACAGACCACTGTATGTGACAGACTGCGAGGGCCCTGTGTGTGTGTGTGTGTGTGTGTGTGTGTGTGTGTGTGTGTGTGTGTGGGGCTCTGCAGCAGGTTACAGGTGAATCACACTGGGCCAAATAATCCTCCCTCTTTCAGTAAAAAGCTCATCAACTATTTAAGCTGGGATGTGAAGAACTCGTGTGTGAAGGCAGAGTTCCTGCGGTGCTTCGAGAGGCACAGCGCAGTTTGCATCCCTCATCACCACAGCCTGTCCAACCAACAACCCAGTGGGGCTGGGACATCATCTGATTGACAGTCTTTCTCTGCCACCTGATAGGCTGTCCCTCTAAGGCCCCTAAAGATCAGGCGTGTGTAACTGCCCTAGCTTCTTCCTGCCAGGATTGTTTCTGGTGTGCACTGATGCTGCCGTTTCACCGTATCGCTTACTGGATGGCCGATACAAGGCTCTGTGTTCCTGACGATGCCACCCACGGGCCAGACACCATGAGTGCTGGAAGCGTGAGAGACAGGAAAAGACAGCAGGCAAAATCAGCGGTTCGGGTTTCAATCTGCGGAGGAGCGAGGTCTCTCAGGATCCTCTTACATTCAACTAACAGAAAAAGAGCGCGTCCCAGAGCCGGCTGCAGCCAGCACTCCTGCAAGCAATATCTTATTATAGCAATAACAGGATCCTGAGATGATGGGATAGAGGCGTCTGTCCCTGTCTCCCTCTCGCCTTCCCTCTGTAGGTCTCTCTCTCTGTCCCTGTCTCCCTCTCCCCTTTCCTCTGTAGGCTTCTCTCTCTGTCCCTGTCTCCCTCTCGCCTTTCCTCTGTAGGTCTCTCTCTCTCTGTCCCTGTCTCCCCCTCCCCTTTCCTCTGTAGGCTTCTCTCTCTGTCCCTGTCTCCCTCTCTCCTTCCCTCAGCAGGCCTCTCTCTCTGTCCGTTTCTCCCCTTCCCTCTGTAGGTCTCTCTCTCTGCCCCTGTCTCCCTCTCCCCATCCCTCTGTAGGTCTCTCTCTCTGTCCCTGTCTCCCTCTCCCCTTTCCTCTGTAGGCTTCTCTCTCTGTCCCTGTCTCCCTCTCCCCTTCCCTCAACAGGCCTCTCTCTCTGTCTGTTTCTCCCCTTCCCTCTGTAGGTCTCTCTCTCTCTGTCCCTGTCTCCCTCTCCCCTACCCTCCACTGCACAATGTGTCTGTCTCTGAGCGGGGGCATGCTTTAATCTGCTCATGCTTCAGCATGTTTCGGCGTAAACCCCCCCGGTGCTTGTGGCAGACGGGCAGATAAGCCTCTCCTCCCACCTCCTCCTCCTTCATGCTCTCCGTGGCCCCGCTCAGCGATTTCTGATTTATGGGTTGTGGGCATGCTGTCCACACTGCGTTGGCGCCCGCAGCTCATGCCCAGCACCGTTTCTGTGCTAAATACAGCCCGTAGGTCAAGGCCTCACCCGGGCTGACACGCCGTCCACATGCGCAGCCCCCCTAACCTTTGCGTCTGCGCGTGAATGTGTGTCTACGTGCTAAACTGCTTCCACACAAACTGCCGTGTTTAAGGTGTTCTGCGGTTCCCTGTCTCTCTCCATCCCTCTGGGTTTTTCAGTTTTCAGCTTCAACTGATTTACTGGCATTAGTCAGTACTGCTATTTTAACGCTTTAATTCTCTTGTTCTCCCTCATCCTTCCTGCTCTCTCTCCCTTCTGTCCTTCTCATCCATGTTAATTACAGAGAGATGAGGATGATGGCTGTAATCCCTTTGATCTTCGCCAATATGACCCCCCCCCCGCCAGCTGATACATTTAGACCAAGGTTCACCCCTAAAGCGTGGTCCATGCACATACGCACACGCAGACACAGGGGGCAGCGTGTTCTCAGTAGGCAGGTGACAGGAAGCACTGCATGTCATCACCATGAGAGCTGTGACTGTAATGAGAGGATGACAGGCGGCCGGGGAATCAGGCGGCACCCAGTTTCCAAGGCTACGCTAACAGACGGGCACATGTGGCCCCATGCGGAGACGTCAAGGACGATACTCAATCAGAAAAGAAAGTGGCCTTTATCAACGTTTATTAATTTAGTGGCGACTCCAGTCCAAAGTGACATGCAAGTGAGAAAGCTTGGGGTCCACAGGGTCAGCCAGCATCTTTGGAGCATGGGCTGTTAGAGGCCTTGCACAAGGGCCAAATGGGATTTGAACCCACAACCTTCTAGACATGGCCACAGATCCCTACGCCTTTATACCACTCTCATCCTCAATGCTGCCCTCGCCTTGCTGCAGGAGGTGCCCTAGCCTGTGCCAAGTGCGCTGTCAGGGGCATTTCCTGCCCTGTGGGCCCCTGGCAACAAGCCACTGGCACCTCAGCAGTTGGCACCTTTGAAGTGTGATAACGAGACATAACGGGGCCTCAGACAGCAAGGGGAAGAGGCGGGGGGGCGTAACGGGGCCTCAGACGGCGAGGGGAAGAGGCGGGGGGGGCGTAACGGGGCCTCAGACGGCGAGGGGAAGAGGCGGGGGGGGGGCGTAACGGGGCCTCAGACGGCGAGGGGAAGAGGCGGGGGGGGGGCGTAACGGGGCCTCAGACGGCGAGGGGAAGAGGCGGGGGGGGGGCGTAACGGGGCCTCAGACGGCGAGGGGAAGAGGCGGGGGGGGGGCGTAACGGGGCCTCAGACGGCGAGGGGAAGAGGCGGGGGGGCGTAACGGGGCCTCAGACGGCGAGGGGAAGAGGCGGGGGGGCTTGCAGAGGGCTATACATTATTCATGGAGTATTTACACCTTAGTGGTAAGCGAGTTCCCTGCTGAAGTGGCCCTTCCTGCAGATAAGCACATTTCGGCCGCCACAAGCTCACACCCAGGTGTGTCACCTGCACGTGAAGCAGCCATGCGGCACTCGCAGATCGCTGCCTGTGTGACAATGCCGTCCATATGACACCTCCACCCATGTGACACTATCCCCATGTGACACCACTGCCTGTGTGACATCGCCACCACGCCACCATCACTGATCACCAATAAAAACAAGCAGGGGGTCGTCTGATTAGCAGATAGGGCCTTTTAAACCTGAGGCTTCGTGCTTATGTATGTTACTCTGGGATTTGAGCTAGGAATAGCAGCCTGCCAGCCGGGGTGTGGTCCTTTTAGCAGATATGGCCACTGGTTGGGATCCATATATAAGGTTACAAGCAGATAGAGGGCAGCCAAAACACTGAGCTGTTTCAGAACCACCGGGGCTATAATTCAGATGAGCCCATGTTCATGGCAATACCACTGATTTGTGCATGCCTACCTCTGCTGCCCATGCTAAAGCTATCGCCTCCAAAATATGCACACGCCTGCTTTTGCTAATGCTAGCGTTAATACTTAGTATTACTATCACCTCCGAAATACAAACATACCTGCTAATGCTAACATTAACGTTACCGCCTCCGAAATACCGCACACACCTGCTTACGCTAATGCTAGCGTTAATGCTAACGCCTCCGAAATGCATGCATATGCTAATGATAACGCTACCGCTGCTGAAATGCATGCACACACACTCATGCTAGTGTTAACATTACCTTCTCCAAAATGCATGCACACCTGTTTATGCTAATGCTAACCAGGACATGCAGACGGCCATGCTGCTTCAGTGCAGTTACAGCCAGATAGAGACAGCGTTCTTAATCTGTTTGTTTATTGTCTTGCGCATATCTTTTCTCTGGCGTGTCTAAGCTCAGTCTCAGTGTAATACTGGAGTCACATGTGGTGGTCAAACCATCTGCAAGTTCCTCCATCAGGTTCAGCCTCCCATCTGTCACTCGTTATGTCCTAGAGCTGCTTCCTTGCTGCTGTTTGTTTCTGGGAAATGTCAGTGTTGCATTCCCATCGGCTCTAACGTGCCAGGGGGGTTGAATCAGGGGGAGGGGGGAAACTCAGCAGGTGCAAGCGCTTGTAGAGTCATCCATCACTTGGAACAGGGTGCCGTGTGACTCTCCTGTGATTTGTGGCCCG